AGATGGATGGCATGGTTGGCATGGATGGGATGAGGTGGGAAGGGTCATGTTTACCAAAAGTCTTATATGGGAATAGCTTTCGTCGTTGAATTCGATGTGAGCACTACAGTTTGTTCTCTCGTGTCTTTCCAAGGAGAGATTGTGTGCAGTGACATCCGTGATGGGTTCGAATAATTTTGAACGAACGACTAACACCAGATACCACAAATTATATTGCTTGCAGCCCACATAGCATGACGTTTCATTTGTGTGAACATGTACGAGACAATGTACATTCTTATCCGTGTACACATCATAGCTGCGTTATAAGTGTGTCATGCAAAATGGATCATCTGGTTCCCACCCATCACTTATGTGGTGACACTTTGTGAAGCCTCGCGAACATCATACTTGAAGGCTTGGACTTTGGCCTTGCTATACCAGCTTTTCCGGACTCTTCGAATTGATCAAAAGAATCATCGCTAGCAGGTGTTCCGCAATCCTTACAGTGTTTACGCATCTTATCTGTACCCCACAGATATGGTTCAGAACCAATATAAACAACGTGTAGGAAACTATATACAATAGGAACGATCGCCATTAAGATGCTCGCATAATCTGACCAGGCCTCATGCTTGAATCTGCAAGAAACATTGCGTTGTGATGTGCATAAGTGTAACGATGTCGTGGTACCTCTTAAGATCGGTTGTGTCGGTTGAGGGGAATGTTTGTGGAGCGGTTGCAAAGCGATTGCGAACTTTGTCAACATAGCGGGCTCTCAGAAATTCCCCGACATCTTCCCCTGACTTGTAAGGTCTATGAGCAGCTATAAGAAGTCATTACCACTCCCAAAGACTTCACGACGGTGGACGAGGTAAAGGTTGTCGGGAGTAAACGGGGAGCGCTAACCCGATGTGAGCTCCCGCACGGACTCTTGGCGGCTAATCAACCCTTCAGCGAGTTTTTGCATCCACCTCCTCCATCCTCCTCCCACCACTCCCCATCCATTGAAGGACCAATTCATCTCCAACTCATCTCCACTCCGACCGTCAATACCATCACCATGGTTGCCATCGCTCGCTCCTTCGGCGCCGCCCGCGTGGCCGCCCGTGGCTTCTCCAACGCTGGTATGTCTCGCGCCTGCCGCAGCAGCTTAAGCCATTGGGTTTGAGCTCTGCAAGCTCATTAAGCAGCCATTGACCATCATCTTGCAGCCCGCGCTCCCCAGCAGAACACCCTCGTCGCTGCCCGCAGCGCCTTCCGCAACAACGCCGCCCGCAACGTCATCCAGAAGCGTGGCATCGTCGCCGAGTCCACCGCTGCCGCCATGGTCGCTGCCGCCAAGATCCAGGGTGCCGGTCTCGCTACCATCGGTCTTGCCGGTGCCGGTGTCGGTATCGGAACGGTTTTCGGTGGTCTCATCCAGGGTGTTGCCCGCAACCCTTCCCTCAGGGGTCAGCTCTTCCAGTACGCCGTTCTCGGTTTCGCCTTCGCTGAGGCCACTGGTCTTTTCGCGCTCATGATGTCCTTCTTGCTCCTCTACGTCGCATAGATGTGTGCATTGCATGGACTGCCGGACATTTGGGGTCAACGGTATGGGGGTGCCGCAAGGTGGAAAACTTTTCTTGCGGATGGGTGTGTGCATAGGGACGACTACTACCTCTTTTCCTACTCTAGTGGCCGGTCAGATTGTGTAAAACATGTACTTTAGACGAGCAATCTGAAGAGCAAGCTACCACCACGGCTCGCTTTCCTTACCCAGGTATATGTGCGGAAGCTGTAGCTATGGTAATGACATGTGCGGATGACTGACGTTGAACTCAATGGACTCGAATGGACCCTCCAAACCAATGCCGACGCTTGTCAATACCCGTGCCACGTTCCGTGATGAGCTACTGCTGTTCGAGCTGTCCGATATTGAGACTTGGTCATGCCAAGCTTTCGTTCGAGCTCGCTCTCAGGCTTGTGGGTGTTCAAGGCTCCCACCCCACCCTAACGTTGATGTTCGACTTGACGCTCGTTGACTACTGAATAGTTCATCTGACCTGCCGCAGGTTGACAGTGCGACATTGGAATGGTTTACCCCAGAACCCCGCGATTTCGAGCCTGCCTCGGTACGACCCGCTACCGTGAGCGCAAGCTGGAGAGCGGACAGACAGAGAAGCCTTGACTCTGGAACTCACTCAAAGGCTTGCGCATACTTTGTGTAAGTATCGAAGACTACGTCGTGAGGGTGAAGTGTTCACTATACTCCCATTGTCGTTGTTCGACAAGCCGCGGTACGATGGAAGCCACGGACACCAGGTACGCGCTTAGCAACACTACCACAAGGTCCCGGGCTGACATCTAATTGATAGAATTCCATACGCAGTCAATACTGCCCGAAGCTCCTCAAATAGAGAGCGATGCGAGCCTCTATAAACTCCGCACGTCACTACGACCCTCCCCCGATCGAAACACGCGCGTAATACAATATCACGTATGAGAAGGAATGATTGAGACTATGAGACTTTTAAGGGCCGCGTCTGTAGCGATCATCAGGCAAAACGATGCTGTGGCTAGCCGCGAGCAGACAGCACGCAGTGTCGCATGGCAAAGTCCGCGCGGCGCACGTCTCTAGAGCCTCCGCGTTTGGTCCCAGATCGACGTGATACTTGCTACGGTCACAGAAGAAGCAAGAGCTGCTGCGCAAGTCGTATAGAGATACCGAGGCTGCGTTGTTTCAGATCTGCGTCTGGGTAGATGGTGAGGCTGTTTCCGAAACACGATATGTGAACGCTCCTCCCCTCCTCCAAGGATCGAACATCGGAAACCAAACAACCACACTCTTCCTTGCCGACTGCGGAACATGCAATGCATTCGAACACTGCAATGGTGCATCTTCTTACTCGGCTCGTACCAAGACCGTGAAACTAGGCAAGGTGGGTTTCGTGATAAGCTTCCACATCTGACGCGGCGAAGCTTAGATGTTTGGCTGTGCGGGTATCACCTCTCCGGACTGTGGTATTTAGAGCTCGATGTCTTCTTGAGTTGGTTTGAGCAAATAACATCCCATCAGTACTATCATCTTGTAATATCTGTGCCGGTCACTTCTATCCCATTTCAACTACTCTCACTACCAATACTTCCAAAACTCCAATCAGCAAACATGCGTTACACAGCCTTTGTCGCCGTTGCTGCTTTCTCCAGCGTCGTCTTCGCTACCGGTAGGTTTTGATAAGCATGATGGAGTATGCTTCTCTGGACATCCATCTAACACATCCCAGCCAGCCCCCAAGACGACGTTGCCTCCATCCTCGAGGCTCTCCGCACGAACAACCCCGAAGATGCCGATGCCGCCGCCTCAGCCATGAAGGTCAAGCTCCGCCGTCAGGACGACGTGAGCTCCATCCTCGCCGCGCTCGAGGCCAACAACCCGGACGATGCCGCCGCAGCCAAGCAGGCCATGTCCTCCACATCCACCACCAAGCGTCAGGACGACGTATCCCACTGCCTCGACAACCTCGCGCAGGTCGACCCCGCGGCTGCTGCCGCTGCCCGCCGCGACATTAAGAGCCGCAGCATCGACGTCCGCGACATGGACAAGCGTCAAGACGACGTTGCGTCCATCCTCGCTGCCCTCGCGCAGAACAACCCCGATGACGCCGCCGCTGCTGCTCCCGCTATGAGCTCTACCCCCAAGTCCGTTACCAAGCGCCAGGACGTGTCCCACTGCCTCGATGATCTCGCCGCAGTCGACCCCCAGGCCGCTGCGGCTGCCCGTCGCGATATCGAGACCCGCGACGTCGAGAAGCGCCAGGACGATGCATCCCACTGCCTTGACGCGCTCGCCGAGGTCGACCCTGAGGCTGCTGCCGCTGCCCGTCGCGATATCGAGAAGCGTCAGGATGATGTTGCGTCTATTCTTTCGGCGCTGGCGCAGAATAACCCTGATGATGCGAAGGCGGCGCAGACGCTTGGTAAGAGGTGGGTTGCGTAGGTGCGAGATGGAGGAGTAGGGGATTGAACTGTTTGGGCTTTTGTGGTTTTGATGGGATCTAATGGATGGCTGGGTGTATATAGGTTTAGGGCTGGTTATGGATTTGTACATGATGGGGAATGGCTTAGGCTCGGTTCTAACTAATGCACTCGTTTGGCCTGACGTATATGTATGTTTCGAGAGATTGTTGAAGATGAGATAACTGTTGAGTCTTGTTTGATTCAGTGTTCTCCCATTGATACTGCATTCGCATCAACACCGCTTCAACACTACAAAGTCGATGTTCTACCACAGTCGACCTGCCCCTCTACTACCCCGCACCACGACAAAGATACCAAACATGACCAAATCCTCCCCCTTATGCCCCTAGCGTGGCTCGTAGCTGTGATTGCCGGGGTTATAAGTGTTGTATCTCCAAAATTTGTCCAGTTTCTCCATCAGACACGATGGCCGAGTGGTCTAAGGCGGTAGATTTAAGCCCTGCTTGGATCTCTACTACAGAAATGTGCGTGGGTTCGAACCCCACTCGTGTCAAACTGCTTGTTTTGCTCTTTTTGCCTTCTTTTTGGGCTCGAAAATGGGGTTGGAGTATCTTTTTGGCTGTGGTGGTGGTAAAATGCTATCAACCCCAACTAGAGCGATAGTGGGGTATACTCGCAGACCCCGCTCGTGTTGAAACTATCACCTTGCTTTTTTGCATCCCTTTGCGCATCTCAAAGTTTCTGATCGAACTACCTCTTTTGGTGGAAAGCCACTAGAGCATCATTCTACGACTTTGACGACTAACAGATATAGCTTTCAAAGAGTAAATAATGTTAAAACACATCTACAGTTGTTGTATGCTTTATGAAGAATAGCAGTACTATGATATGCCATTCAGGAAGGCATATAGGCCGAAGACTGGTTTATGCATGCCTTAGAGTAGAGATATTACCCGATGTTGTATTAAAGCTATCTAACAGCTTCACGTGAAATATCTCAAGTCTTCGAGGAAGAAGGACATTGTGGAGTAGATGCTCCTGGCAAACACATCCCAATCGTTCTAGTCCTGTTCCGTATCTTCATCCCGCTCGCGTAGCTCCTCTTTCTTCTTCCGCCGCCTACAGCCTTCCTCCTCAATCATCTCCATCAGTCTCCGTGGTAGGCCTGCATGCGGGCTCCCATCTCCTAATATCTCCGCACTAGTGTCCAGAAATCTCTGCCTAAAGAACCACCATAACGCTTCATCAGCAGTTTCCGTGCCGTCCGGTCGTGGGTAGAAAGGATCGTTTCTCATAAACGCCGCGCACGCCTGCTTCAGCCCAGCTTCGTCCATAGACATGTGTCTCACACAGTCAAAGTCTAAAATCCACATGACGTGTTTGCCAAGATAGTGTGATGGGAATGATGTTCGTGTTGATGAGGCTCGCGGAGGTGCAAGTACGAACTCGACGTCATTAGCGTCGACTTTGGCGCCCCAGTGCATGATAGCAAGCGCATCCGCCATAGTCTGCGCGTAGGCGACGTAATCGAGGCCGAGGTCTTCCATCTGGTTGATATGTAAAGGAACGTTCCTGAGACTGAACCGCTGGAAGCGCGACGTGTTTGCTTCGCGTTCCCGTCGTCGCCCTAGGTAGGGACGGATAAGACAGCAGTCGTCGTCTTCATTCCCTTTCACAAAGGCCGAGAGTGACGTGTTGCCCGCGCAGAATAGGTCCACAATCTTGTCGCTGATAGATCGAGGTATCTTAGGGATTCGTTCCGATATGAGCGCTCTACACTCTGTGAAGCCGGTAGGGAAGCGGTGGAGATTTTCAACCCACCACATATTGTTTGAGTATATCAACGACTGACACTGTGGTATAGCTAGAGGCATTGAAGGACGATGTTGGTTTGCGCTTCGAATGATTTGCAGATGCATGTTGTAGTCGTTGGTGACGGATCGTCCGGGTCCTCCATCTTCGCGTTTGATGGCATGATTCGTGCCATCTTCAGCAGCCCAGACGCTGCCGCAAAATCCCTTGCCAATGCAGCGGTAGGGAGCGTTGATGTTTGGCATGATGAAGTCGTTATTCCAGGATTGGAGTTGGTATTAGACAGATCGCAGTTGTAAGAGTGATTCTATGATGTAGTCAAGTATCAGAATAGACGCGGGGAAATATTGAACGGCGAGGAATATTGAGCATGTTTGACTCAGACCAGTACCATGGTTGGGAAAAGTTGCATCCACACATGACTTTGCGTTGCAATACATACAACGACAACTCTCCAATACAAGATGCACAGCCTGAGCAGATGTATTTCAGGCAAATCGTACATCTACCACAAGGCTGTGAGATGCGCCTCAGGGTGTGGCCGTGCCGTGCGTTGTTGCCTAACGGGATAACCGTGCCGTAGGTGGCCTAAGCTTGGTATGCAAGCAGCATATATCAACAACAAAGACACCGCAATCTCGTTCAAAGTCTACATTGACTTCGAGGGAGTCCATCAACCATTCCCGCACTGTATATTCCCGACTGAAACCATGGGTCAAGAACAGTCTCAGCCGTCAGCATCGCAGCGACCTCCAGAGCCGCAGCTTAGCGAGGAAGAGCGCGCGAAACTCCAAGCTGAGGTATGGCCTTAGTGTTCGACCATACTTGCAATGCTGACAAGCCCAAAGATGCGCGCAAACCAGCAAGCGGCCCTTGATAAGCGTCTTAACCAGCCAAGGAAGTCGTCGCCCGCAGGCGCTCAAGCGACGAGGAAGCCAACTGCCCTGGAGGAAGCAAGCAGGGAGAACATCGGATGGCGCAACGCCGACGCGCAGGCGGAGTTCAGGAACTGGAACTGATGTGGGTGGACACGATGCTTGTGTCTTGTAGCTGAGCCGGCGCGAAATGTGTTGATCTGGGTTTGAAGGTGTTCAGACGGTCCATGAACAGGGATGGGGTTTGTCTCTCGGAGTCCGGCGTATTGGAGCCCACAACCGATATTTGACAACGTCATTTTCCTCTCATTCTAAGTCTCTTGCGTCTTGATTCGGTGATGGAAGGCATAAAGCAGGTGTTTGGTGCTGTGCCTCAGCAAGCTGAAATGAAAGCAAGGGGCCAAACGGACATCCGCGGGGAAATGCCCACGCCGGTCGCTCGCTAGCGGCTTACATAACCGAAGATCTTCCGCCGCCCAGCCCAAATCACCTGCATCGTGCATCTCAATTGCACTCATATACCCATCTCGCTGTCGCCACTATGCCGGAACAGCGCGTCGCAAAGCGCAAGACGCACACCAAGTCGCGAAAAGGATGCTTCCAATGCAAGCAGCGACATACTAAAGTAGGTGTTCACCTTCGATCCAGCTTCCGTCTTCACCAGCCAATCACCGTGTGCTGTGCGATTATCTGTACCTACCCGGCAAATAGTGCTCGAGTGCTATGAGCATCCGAAGCTATGGCTCTTCTGCAGTGATCTGTGTCGTCGCTTACCATGTCGTACAGTGCAATGAAGCGCGCCCGCGCTGTGGGAACTGTGTTCGCCTGGATATCCATTGCCATTTCCCTGCAATACCGGATAGCTACTCGACCTCCCCACAACACAGTCCAGGCGTGTCCTCACCCTTTGTGGATACAAATCATGCTGAAAGTCCCGAAGCAAGTCCCGCCAGTTCCGAGCTACCACTCGCAGACCTCCGTCTGCTGCATCATTGGACAAAGGCGTGCGCCAAGTCCTTGCATCCAAATCCCGCCACTAGAAGTGTCGTCTGGCAGGTAAGACTGGTCTACTTCGATAGACCATGTGGAATCGTTGAACTGACCGTGTCGCTCTGCAGAACGAGTTCATTGAACTAGGCTTCGACTATCCTTTCCTTCTTCGTGGTTTTCTCGCCCTTTCGGCAGTCCATCAAGCATCCTTGCTTCCGCCAAACGAGCGGCAAAGCCTTTTGCTCCAGGCAGATTCCCACATCAGTCGAGCCTTGGACACTTACCGAAAGAATTTGGAGACGCCGAACGTTGAGCTGGCAATTCCAATGTTCATGCTGTCTTCGATAATCTTGACTTACAACTTCGGTTCGGCGCAACTTGAACGCCCCGAAGATCCCATTCGCGCTCTCCACCACTGCTTCATGTTATTGCAAGGCATCAAGGTTGTGGTGATACCTCACTGGGACCAAATCAAAGACAGCTCGGTATTTGCTCATATGACAGATATGGCGTCTCCTGAAGCGCTGGATGCGTTGGACACGCTCGCAAGGGAGGAGAACCCTCAAGAGATCCTTCGACTCAAGGAACTTACGGAACTCCTACTAGACAGTCAGGACAAAGAGGCCTGCGCTACAGCTATCGACGCACTTAACGCGACCTGGCTCCGGTTCCGGCACATATCACCCGATCGCGACGAGTACTCCCTTCTCTTTCTTTGGCCTGCAAGGTTGGAGACTCATTTCTTCGATCTCCTCGCAGCTCACAACCCTGTGACATGCATCATCACAACCCATTTTGCAGCGATGCTGGCCCAATGTCGTCCGGTATGGTGGGTGGTCAAGTGGCCCCAATGGCTTCTTGCTGCCTGCGAACAATTGCTAGCAGCGACACCAGATCTCCTAAAATGGCTCGACTGGCCGCAACAGATCATTCATGCTCAAGCCGGGAGCGCGACGACCACTCCGACAGCCTCGTGAGGGTCTGAGTTACACCGAGTTGTATCCATTTTGGTGTCGCAGCCAATAACTCGTTATATCCTATCGCGGGGAGTGAACCTGACCGGGTGTCCTTGTGCTCTGGCAAACCACCTCTTGGCGCTTCCTTAAGTCGTGTCGTGGGTTGTTTTGGCGAAGTCTTGTCGCAATGATCACTAATATGGGACCAAATAAATGGCGAAGCTTGCGAAGGCTGTGCAATTCGCACAATCTCAACGAGGCACTGCAGTTGTTGATACGCCGTATTGGACGGGGTGCTGCACGATTTAACCCCCCCAAATCGTCCCACTAGTGCGGCAGAAGCCATACGGCCGATACGGGTCCCGCAAAAAAACGTCTCGGCTCGGCTAGCGCTCTTGGCAGCGTATTTCGCGTCACGTATTCCGTACAGCAAGAACGCGAACGCATCCTTAGCTTGACGGGTTGACGCAGGAGCGATACGCAATCATTGTTAAAACGTTCGAGAAGCCCACTTCGAGAATGGTCACACCTGCATTCGAGAACGCATTACCTGCGTTCGTCTTCAACTCAACTCAACATGTCCGACACCGAACCATACCGCCCCGCGCTTGACGACCCAACCGCCTACGTTCTATACCGATACATCCCAAACCAGATAGCGGCAATCATCTTCGTCGTCGCATTCGGTCTTACCACCTTTTTGCACATCTTCCAGTTCATCAGGAGAAAGACGTGGTACTTCGCACCACTAGTGATTGGAGGTCTATGTAAGATTGCATAGCCATCCTTCCCGATGGTGTTGCTGACATAATGCAGTCGAGGTTATAGGTTACATCGGACGCTACCTCTCACACGATGATATCTGGGCACTCGGTCCCTTCATTATGCAGTCGCTGCTCATCCTACTTGCCCCAGCACTATTCGCAGCCTCCATCTATATCATACTGGGTCGGATAATCCTCTTAGTCGACGGAGAGCGCTACTCGTTGATTAGCCACAAGTGGCTTACGAAGACGTTCGTAGCAGGAGACGTGTTCAGCTTTATGTTGCAATCCGCAGGTACGTTACCACTTTAACGCAGCTTCCAGGACTATGGCTAAATATCAGTATAGGTGGTGGCATCCAAGCCATGGGCACGCTAGACTCCCTGCATACCGGTGAAAAGATCATCATCGGTGGTCTCTTCGTCCAACTACTCTTCTTCGGCTTCTTCATCGTCGTCTCCGCGGTTTTCCACTACCGTGTCTCCAGAGACCTTCCCCTGAAGAGGCGCTACAGCCCCTTCTCGTGCTTCAAGTCTCGACAATCCCATGAGGTCGTACAAACCTGGACCACGGTATCCCGAGCCAGTCTTGACGAACTACCCTGGAAGCGCCACCTCTTCAACCTATACTTCGCAAGCGCGCTCATCATGGTTCGAAGCATCTTCCGTGTCGTGGAATACCTCGGAGGAAACGCAGGATATCTCCTCAGTCACGAAGTGTACCTGTACATCTTCGATGCTCTGCTGATGTTCTTTGTCATGGTTGCCTTCAACTGGACCCATCCAAGTCAGGTCACGGACGCACACCAGAAGAGACTGCGAAGCGGTTCGCCCATGGAGCTGCAACATTCTCGCGATGTGTCAACGGGCGCGGATGAAGAGCAGATGATGGGACATCGGGAGGCTAAGAATGGTGTAAGAACTGGTGGCAGGAGGGGTTCAAGGAGCCATGGCAGGGCTGAATCGAGACATTCAAGCAGGCATGCTTCTGGGCGTTGAGACAGCAGGGGTGGATCTATTGACTATGACACCAAGAGGAGGACTTCATCCGCATTTAACGACTAGAGCATAGGAACTGGTGACGTTCCCGCAAGAAGTAAGCGACAAGCTGTGCGCCAGTACTTCTCCTACGGAAAGGGGCGCGGAATACCGAGGGTTTCCAAAGAGGAAGCTCGAGCGAGATGCATCGGTAGCAAGTAGCAAGTAGCATGTGCAAGGCGATGACGTCATTTCAGTTTTGGAACAAGAATTTCCGACTTCACTAGGAAGTTATATCCGATTAGATAGCATCAGTCCGTAGGAACAAGTCACCTCAGAGGAATGAGAGGAGCATCCGTAATTTCATCTACATGCTTAATGCAATGCACTCGATGATTGCTTCCACCCCTTCATATTGGTATTTGTTTCCTCATCGCATTCCAGAGAAAGGGTATGTTTCCGCTATGACCGTAATTGTACCCCGACTCAACTCTGGAATGGGGTCCGTAGAACTCCATGACTCCAGTCCCTTTTTTTTTCCAACACGTCCCAGCCCTTCTACTCAGGACGGTGGTGGAGGCCGACCACCGGACTTTGTGATTACTGATAGCCAGCTAGAAAGCGAAATTGCTACCCACGCAATTACAATACAGGATCCAGAAAAGTTCCGAGAGCTGAAATGCGATTCGTGGTGGTGGATTTTTGGAGCAGCTCGGTGGACCTCCGAGGTGTGTCCGCCTTCGCGCCGATAGAAGACCAACTTCACGAGGAGCGAGAAAAAGGTTCTGTCGCTGAACGGAAAACTTTTGCGCGACTCTGTGTTCACAACTGTGGTTGTGGATGGCCCATTTGCGAAGCCAAACGGTCAGCCAACCTCTGCAGATAAATTGCTATCCGTGGGTCCCGACAGTTGGCATGTCGACCGGCGTACTCCTTCAGCTCTCGTAATTCAGTCTGTAGCATGTGTACTTCCGCCTTCAGTATGCGGTTACTGCGCTCTGAGTCTCGCGCTCTCTCAACTAGCGCTTCCTGCTCCATTTTCTGCTTGCTTCGACATTTGCTGGCGGCTTTGCGGTTCTTTTCGAGATATATAGCTCGCGCTGAGCCTGGCTCGGCGTACTCGGATCGACGCCTCTTCTTGGACGGTGTTTCTGTTGTTGTTGTTGGGGATGTCTCTTCATCCTTAGGGTACAAACTGTCGTGTCGTCCTTTGGCGTCGTCGTCGTTGTCGCCTTCGTAGAATTGGGACGCATCGGCGGGATCGAACTGCGTTTGCGACGGGGAAATAGTCGGAGTAGGGATCGAGTTTGCTGACTGATTGGAAGGAGTAAATGCTGAGCCGCCCTGGGCGCCGAAAAAGGTGTTCGCAGTCGGTGCTGCGTTTAAGTTAACGTTTGCGCCCAAAACAAACGCCTGCGAGTTCGTGGATTGAGACATGGGCGGCGGAAAATTGCCCATATACTGGTATCCTGCGTATTGTGGGAATAATGGACTTGTGGGCGATGTGTGCGTAAAAGATCCATAACTACCGGGCGCTGGTGTTTCTTCTGGCTGCCCTTGATTCGGATGGTACACTGGGTACCCTGGCTGCCCTGGTATCATTGGAGAGTTGTCGTCCGACATGTAAGAATGATGTTGGTTAGAAGGTATGAGAACTAAGCTCATTGTTAACGGTATTTGCCTGTGAGGATATGTGGTTTGAGGTAACTCGCTACCACGCTTTGCCAGATTTCGTGCCGATTGTGTGTGCAATGGACCCTTTTGGAAACGACACAATGAATTGGTGAATAACGGGGATATCTGAATAGACTAGAAGTGGTGAAGCTGGACGTGTTGAGAGTGTGATGATGCAGGTGGTCTGTTTGTCATGGGAAGTGAAGAATCAAACGTCGATCCATGGTAGGCGCCATTCGCAACCGTGGAAAGCAGGACCATGGCCAACTTATCTTCAAGCGAGAGAATCCTGGCCGGCGCGCTGAATCGAACGCGTGGTACGGGTACGCAATGGCACAGAGTGCTGTAGTTTGTCGAAAAGGCTATGACGGCGCGGGAAACATGCCCGGGGAGGATCCACGCGACATGATTGAGTGAGATGCTGGCCGGCGGCGTATACCGCGACCAACTATGAGGCAAGCACTTCGCATGCCGCTGCAGGAACAGGCGCATTGCCGCAAGCTGCGCAGCAGCTGTCAACGCGCTCTGATAGCTTACCAATGCTGGTCTGTCGGATGAGGGCAGTCGCGACGAGGTGAGGCTGAGGGAACGGCACGCTGGTGGTGCGGCGGCGGGGGGAAGCCGAGCCATCGGCATGATCTCGGTGAACCTGTTCACGGGCGCTCATTCTTAACCAGCGGTAGTGGTGTCCATGGATCCCTCGATCAGGTACGGGTGGGCCTTCTGCGCTAGTGGTCTCGGAGCCCTGGAGGACCTTCGACGTTGCACGACGTGCCGTCGCTAACGCCAGTCGCTAACCTTGGAATCACGCTACCGCTGGCCTTCGTCACCCGCAACCCTCTGTCTGGTATTTTGCCTCAGACTCGGCTCCAAAAATAGTGGGTGGCAGGTGCTCTGAGACTCCATTTCGTCTATATCTAAAAATCGTGAACCCACTCGTCCAATCGTTCTTCCGTCCCCGGATCTGCTCAATCGCAAGCTCGCTTCTTTTGCACCTCAAGGCGCCTACCACTCACTATGAGCATTGGCGCCGACTCAGACCCAGGTAAAGATGCCGACTTGAACAGACAGCTTTTCCGTGGAATTGGATACGTGCCATATCGGCACTTTAGCTCTCGGCGATGCTCTGATCTAAGCGTATTGAGTTGTACTCTTCGTCGCCATGTTCGACGTCATTCTCAAGGGTGGACCGATCGACGATCTGTTCCGATATCCGATGACACTTCTCATAGGCTGTTGGGGGCTGATTGCAAGCATCATGCCAGTATAAGAGAAGATCGCGTCGCATATGCAGAATGTCAACTCGCATTCCTGCAGTCTGTCTCCGCCGCCTCCGATACCATGTCAGCCCTAAAGCCAAGAAATGGGCAAGGCTGGTGAGTAATCCACTCTTCCGGGACGGCTCGATAGCTAGGAACACCAGTGATGAGTTCCTGGTCTATCCGATATACGCAACTATGCTGTCCTTGAAGGAGCGGTTTCTCCCAAAAGTCGCTGAATTTAGTTTTTGTAGTGGCGGGCCGTCATCTCGAATCGATAAAGAAGCGATTCGAGTTCCCAACGGGTCCACGGGTACACCAAGCTAGCCCTTCCTCCGCATCGCGTCCCGCAGCACCAACAATCTGCGGAGTAAATAGCGGTTATCGAGAGCGACCATCGTGAGGCTGCAGCCGAAGATGCCGGTGGATCCAGGTATGCCGAACCTGCGAGATTACTCCAGTCGACGTCGGGTAGAGTCTTCTGAAGCATTCACCAGACGTAATAGAGAGTCTTGTAGCCCTCTCAGGGTTGACCCTGAAACCAGAAGCGGCATTGACAATGTGGCACACTCTCAGCCGAATGGAAGCCGCTCGCGGTCTGGAGGCATCGCCGAAACTACACAACTTGGGACAGTGCCAGCAGTGTATACTTCGATCTTGGTTGGTTATTTGATGAAACTGTATATATCGCCGGTATTGCTTCACGATATGCACAGGCATCATAGGCCTCTGCAAGCAACATGTCGCACCGCTTTCTCAACCTGCTCACACACCGGCTATACATGCAAATAGCTCTAACCTCTCTTTACAGTACAGTCCACGTATGTGTGTACTTCTAGTCTACATCACTGCGCGAACTTGCCGATATGCCGCTCGGCGTAAAGAGTAATCCTGTATCTAACTTCCCGCTGTCAACATACCACCTGCATGATCTACTTTACGCTTTGCATCAATGTGTCCGTTCAACCGGATAACGTATTTTGAGCTATCCATTGTTCCCGTCTTGTCCATTATTCCCGTCGCCCAGATCTATCGTTCCGATGCCCCATCCGAGAAGCGGATCCCGCTTCCGAAGTACGCCTAGATCCAGCCGTGCCAGTCTAGACCAACGGCAGGGTACTGATGTTCCGTCCAGTCTTTGGTAGTCTTAAACTCACGCTAGAAATCCCATGCTTCGAATCGGACTTTGGAATCGTATATCTCCCCGGATGGCAGTGGATGACCTCAGCATGGAAGCTCATGGAGACTGTGTAGTGCTGTATACGTGGCTTGCTTGATTTCTTCCGTCGACGCCCAGCTACGATGATTACCTGAGACTACGTATCATATCACGCCATATTTCTTCGAGAGACGGTCTCGTCATCGTTGTCGTAAGTCGAATCAAACCCACGTCGGGATAAAACCCCCAGATTTTACGCAACCTACCTAGGTGGGTACAAATCATCGGACCACCGAACTCACAGGACAACTCTCCGATCCGATCTCGGAACTGTCCAGCGAGAGAACTACAGCCAAACTACGCATCAGGGCTCAAGTACAATCTGCGGTTCAACAGGCGTCATACCTCCAGACATCTAAGCGACCGTTTGCGGGTAAACTTTCCCGGCCACCCTCCCGGTTCGCCAGCGGCCGAGTAGACCCACGAATCTCCGCACTTGCAACCCACCCAACTACCGCCAAACATGGTAGTTGAAACGACCCTGGCGCAGGCGCGTACCTAGGTACTACAAATATACCAGCTTCGACATACGTCCAGAACCTACGAGTCCAAAAAGTGCAACATAAACCGCCAGAATGCGCGTCATCGTCTTTGGTGCATCGGGTGTCCAAGGGCGTCATCAAGTCCACGCCCTCGCCCGAGCAGGCCACTCCGTCGTCGCCGTGAGCCGCAACCCGAAACCCGTTCTGGTAGACGGAAAGGACGTGGAGACGTTTGCCGCAGACTTTACCGACCATGATGCCATCGCAAGAGTACTCCAAGGCGCGGATAGGGTCTTTCTCAACCTCCCGAGTACGTCGTTCAACCAATCCGAGCCTATCATTGCGGCAGCCAAGTACATCGGGGAAGCCGCAAAGAAGGCCAACGTTCCGTTGATTCTGTTCAACACGAGTATGCCGGTGCCGAAGGAATCTCAAGACATCGTAGCCCAGGAAGATCGGAGGGAGATGAGGAGGTTACTGCGGGAGTCTGTACCGACCATTAGCATTGAGCCCGTGGTTTATCTCGACAATATCCTCGAAGGCTGGGCTCTACCTCCGATCCGCGACCGCAACACCGTTGTCTACTGCCACAAGCCCGACCTGCGCGTGTCGTGGATCTGCCACCACGATGTCGCGCAGATCATGATGGCCGCTATGCAGCATCCTGAGCTTGCTGGCCGCGACATCCCTATCGGCGGTGCTGAAACCGTTGTTCTTTCTCAACTAACTGAGAAGCTATCGAGAGCCTGGGACAAGCAGCTGGGTTATGAGAACCAGACTGTTGCAGACTTTTGCGATAAGATTGGCAAGGCGATGCAGGGGCGTGGTCTGGATACGGACACGATTGTTAGTCAGATGTTTAAGGCGTATACGTATTACAATGAGGCGGAAGATGAGCCGTTTAATGTGGATATGAAGCCTGTGGTGGACGAACTAGGAGTCAAGCTGACGCCGATTGAGGAGTGGGCTAAGAGGAGGAGTCCGTGGGATGATAAGGGCTACTATTAGATGCGGAACACAACGAAATTAGACGACGATAGTCTGTCCTATTTTCAATTCACCTGAAATTCTGACATTTTTTGAAACAAGCGACACATCGACACGGTATCGACTGACAACCCCCAAACTCCACCCAATTCGCCCGTTTCCCAATCCATAACAACCATTCCCCCTCACATCCCCCCCACCGGCGCACCCCCCATCATCCCCCCCTCCATCCCATCCTGCGGCATCCCGTATTTCCCAATCCCCTTCCCCCTCCGCCTCTGCACCTCCATCGCCACCTCATTCGCCTGCCTAAGCATATCCTCACTACTCCCCTTCCCCGGCACGAAAACCAACCCCAGATCCGGCGCCGGGTTTCCCGTCCCCACAAAGTTCCCCTCTGCGTCTTTGGCGTAGTGCGCGTTGTAGTAGGAGCGCTTCATTTGCCGGATTATGATGGATTGGGATATTTTGCCTTGTTTGCGTGAGAAGGGGTTGTAGTTGTGGAGGGAGAAGGCGAGGGTGCGGGTTATCATGGGGACGGGGATTGTTTCGTCTGGGTCGCCTGTGGAGAGGGTGGAGAGGGCGTGGGCGACGGTTGTGTAGGTTGGTGGGGAGTCTAATGTGGGAGGGTAGGTTGGTGGGGTTTCCACGGATAAGGAGGCTGGGGCGTAGTAGTCGTTTGTTTTGGGGGTTGTTTCTGTCATGTTTGTTGTTGATGATGTCGTTGTTGGTGTTGGTTGTAGTAGAGTAATCGTGGTGTCGTGTATTGCGTATTCTGTGTTTTCTTGGAAAGTGTTTGCGGCTTATAGATGCAGATAAGACGTGTCTGACAGCTATAACAACACCCCCAAGCAATAGCGTCCTCGCTTGGTTATATATCCGGCCATCAACACACTCACCTTATTCCCACGATCTTCCTCACTGCCTCCAACTAACCACAACTAACCACCTCACATGGCTGAGCAACCGAATACGAGGTGCTACCTACATAGCCTCCCCGCCAGGGCTGCTCTGTGGCTAGCTTCCAGCTCGGCACGAGCTTGACACCACACGATTAGAACTCCAACCCAGTCGCATAACCCGGATAAATGACCGAGACACGCAGCAGAATCACCAAACAGGTAAACCATCCTGCGACTCAGCCTATCGCAGTGCCTCGGTGGCGAGTGCGCAAAGGCGGGGTGTCCAAAATCCGCCTAGCGTAAGGACCCTTTGTGCAGATCAGATGATGTCATTTTGGAAAACTCGACGGAGCCATTGTGGCTTTGGGTGCTTGTATCGCGTAGCTTTATGCTTATCTTGTGTTGAACAAGGCTGAGGTGACTTAGTTCATCACGTGTAGTTTGTAATTGCCATATGATCATCCCCCGGAATATAAAGATAGAATTAAGATGTCGATCTCGAAATCCGGGGTTATCGCGGCGATGATCAGACAACAAGGACCGAACGAAGAGTCATTTCAGTAGTTTGGAATAGAGTGCGACCGGTGAGAGGAGGTCGCGGAGTTGGGCGTCTGTGATGTTCGTCCTTCGTTGCAATCGAGAAGACAGTTGTAGTTGACACGATGATGCACATGTAGATGATGTCTTTAGTTTGATCGTAATTCATTTCATATACTCATAGCATCGCTAGTATTCTGCGATGACCTAGACACTTCAAGCTTATACACCAGCATGCTTCTTCATCTTCCACGTGCTCAGTGCACATACTCCTCCTCATCAACATCCTTCCCACCCTTCTCAAGCATATGCTCCGGAAGCGGACTAGTAAACGGCTTCCTCGACTCCCTCACAATAGCCGGAATACTCGTACCCTCCGTAAACATCATCTCCAGCTCCTCCAGACTGCGGCCCATAGTCTCCGGGTACCCGAAGTAAACAACCGGCAAGATAATAGCAGAGATAATAAGGAAAACAAGATAATACTGCCACCCAATAGTCTCAATAGCAACCGGCGTAACCATATTAACAACGAAATTCCACAGCCAGTGATTAGCCGTAGAAATACCCGCCATGGGCACGCGCAGCCTCGTCGGCGCAACTTCCGTGCAGTACAAAAAGTTGGCGCCGAGGAACCCAATCGGGATGAAGAAGTTGAAGAGGAAGACAAAGAGCGCGCTGGCGATCTGGGCCGATTGGTTTGTCTTGGGGAAGCTGGATGCGACGGCGAGGGCTAACATGCAGGATGCCATGCCTGCGCCGCTGAACATGAAGAGCTTGCGGCGCCCGAAGCGGTCGATGGTGAAGAAGGCGACGAAGCAGGAGAGGAACTTCCAGGTTAGCGCGCCGCCGGAGAGGATGCGCGAGGTTTCGCTGTCGAGGCCGAGACCTTGTTGGAAGATGATCTGGGGATCTGTATTAGAAATGGGTTGCATAGTCAGGGGGAAGTGGACTTACGGTTGAGTAGGTGGAAATGAGGTTGCTACCGCACATTTGCTGCAGGAACTGGAGGAAGATGCAGAGGGAGAAGCGGTAGAATAGCTTGTCCTTGCCCATGGTGAAGATATCGCTCATCTTCGCTGCGCTGCGGCCAGTTTCCTCGAGCGCGAGTTCGATGCCGCTGATCTCAGCTGTGATTTCGGGGTCGTGCAGATCCAAGCCCTTGAAGCTGGATAGACTGAGACGAGCCTCCTCAACGCGTCCCTTGTTGACTAGCCAGCGAGGTGATTCAGGGATGCTGAATACAGCGGCCATGGGGACAAGGGAGATGACAGTGGGAATGGCGAGCGGGATACGCCATTGCAGAGGCAGGTTATCCTGTTCAAAGAATCCAAGGTTGATCCATGCTTCGAGGAGGTAGCCGAGGGAGATAAAGCAACCGTCGAGCACAACGTGCTTACCACGGTTGGCAGACGATGAGCATTCGGATTGCCAGACTGGGACGGTAGCGCTGAGAGCTCCGACTCCCCATCCTAGGATGAAGCGACCGACGACGAATTGCGCGAGCTGGAAGCTAGTGCATTGTAGGATCTCGCCGACGAGAGTCAGGAATGCGGCACCGAAGATGAGCTTTCGTCGTCCGAGGATGTCGCCGATCCAGGAGCAAGACAGAGCACCGAAGAGAGCGCCAATGGTGAAGGTAGCGACGACGGCACCTTGCTTGGTCGAGTTGCTGCTCTTCTCCGCGCCGGTAGCATCGATGGTGTCGATTTCCGGGAAGTGGTCGTTCCAGTCACGGAGAGATAACAGACCACCCACACCAGACTGGTTGTATCCAAACAGCACAAAAGCTGGCAGAACGACGAGCAACAGCTGTGCCGTCTGCAGAGTCTTTCCGGTGAGTCCCATGGTGAAGAATGACGAAAGGAGGAAGATTCAGAGGGGAGAGGAGGGGACTACAGAAGGAGACGGGATGGACAGCAGCTCAGTACTTGTACTCCAGAAGCGCACCCCACAATATCCTGCAATGTGGGCACACTACCATGGAGACAAACTCCAGTCAATGCATTATTGAGCGGCCTTAGTGCTCCGCCTTTGGGGGGGTAAACACCCTGACCCGGAGATACAGGTATAGCCAGCCAGCGAGCTGCACCGGATGCCTCGATTTAGCACCGACCCCATACACCGCAACACTAGCAGGTAACCCTCCACAAACGGCCTCGACTTTGTTGACCGGTCTGCAGTCCGTGCTTGCGGGAATTGACTCGCAGCATGACCACAAAGCAGGGCGCGACTGCGTCCGCGGCCATAGTTCGGCGTCGCTCGCCTCAAAGCGAGCGGCTGGGGAGGGAAAAATCCTTACGCCCTTGTCGCAGCGCTATCATGACGGTTGAGGCTTCATGTGGGCCGAATTTGTACTGAGGCTCTGCGGCAGGATTTAAGCTTTTCCAAGAAGACGTTAGGTGCTTAAAAACCTTGATACGCGTGCGGCGCGATTGGTTCGCATTACGGCCTCGGTAGTTGTTCTATCTCCACCCTCGCCGTGCGCGCTCCGTAACTTCGGAAGATGGCACGCTGCTCGGGCGAGAGACGCAATTTGCTCAAGGTGCGTGGGTAGTGCGTCGGCCCAGATTTGATGATGAAACGACAGGCGGTTAACCAGGGAATCTGCCTGATTGCTCCACACCCGTGGGGTCGGCTAGAAGACAGCAAGATTCCGCCGGTAAGTTTGAAAGTATGTACCTGCGCATGCGGCGAGATAAGACTTTGCGCGAGACGATAGTGTAGCTTGTTATTGCTTGGCCAGACCTCAGTCGACGTCTGACCTGCTGATGGCTTTGCATGACTGCTCAAACTCTAGTACTGCTTGGTGCTCTTGCTAACTCTCATAAGCTGTGAAAGCCCATCAACGGATTCGGCTCTCTGTGTCCCCGTCTCGGTGTTCGCACTCGAGCTCGTTCCTTCAGGCTCTGCCCCACTTCGTCCCTCCGATAGTTCCGAGTCAGCGTCTGGGGTTTGACCAGCGTCCGACCTGCCATGTCGGTCTTTGACAGCTTCGGCTGTCTGCTCGGATGTCGCTCGTCCGATCTCCGCCAGATTGGTCGGTATGATGCCATACTCGAAGCGATCGATGACAGCTCGCTCCACTGCGATTCGCGGTTCCTCCACACTAGCTTTGTAATCCTTCAACAGCGCAACAGCCCTCTCGTCGCCCTTCAAGACACACCTGTGGATCAACGTCTCCCACGTCTTCCTTCTAGGCTTCAAGGGGCCCTTTTTGCCAGTTGTCGCGCCCGTTGACCGCATCTCCTCATAGTAGAGCAGAGCATCTTCTAGGTCACCCGATTCTAGGCACACCAGGATCAGACGATCATACGTAATGCGGTCAGGTTTGAGACCCAGCTTGACCATCTCGTTCGCAAAGAACATGGCAAGCTCCTTGCGGGCGGATCTATGGCAGCCTTGGAACAGGATATTAAACGTTTCTGTGCTCGGGCCAGCATGAGATACCGTATGCAGGGCTTTGTAAATCTCAATGCCTTCTTCCAGGCGCTTGTTTGCGATGCTGGCTTTGATGCATGCGTTGACGGCAGCGGTGGGAACTTTGCGGCCAGAGGTCTCAAAGTCTTGCAGATATCTGAAGGCTTGCATGGGTCTGCTGTCATCGTTGTGATTTTTGGCGGACAGATACCAGTAGAGAGGATCACAGGTCCCAGCGTTGACCTTCAAGTTCGAATCCACCATGATGAGGATGATAGACAGAGCTGCGTGGAGGTCGTTGGCCTTGAGGTATGTGGATATGAGCAGTTCATAGTGTTGCGTGGTGAACGTTGTACCTCGTTCGGTCAGGACGCGAAAGACATCGGTAGCGAGCTGGATGTCTCCGTGTCGTGAGGCGAGAGTGAGTACGTGCAGGCAGGCGCCGGTGCCAGGCTTCAGGTAGCCGGGCTGAACTTGCGCAATCCATACAAGGCTCGTTTCAGCGTACTTCACGGAGTTAGCAGGTTCCCTTGGAATGCACATAGGACATAGTCCCACTTACAAGCTGCTTGTGCGCCGCGGCATCTAGCAACGCTCCCCAGAGAGCGATACTGAGCTGGACTGTACCTGTTCCGCTACTCTTGCTCTGCACGCCCTCCTTGAGACTGAGCACGTAGAATGCTTCCTCGACTTCGCCAAACTCCAGCAGCATCCATATAGCCTTGTCAAACAGCCAGCTCTCCACGCGTGCTTTGTTCCTGACCATCTCCTCCATCAACTCGAGTGCGTGTTCGAAATGTCGCTCGCGTAGCATCCCGGCTATGATGAAGTTGCGCGCACGGTCCGATGGCATGAACCATCGCGACTTCATGTATTCGAGGATGTCGGTGCGGAGGAGGTAATCCGGGTGCACTGCGAGCACCTCAAGCACGCATTCACAGCCCCGCGCATCCAGCAAGATTCTTGGCTTCCCAGTCAGAGATCCATCGGTCTCGTCCCAGAAGCCCATCTCTTCCAGTACTTTGCGGACTTTCCCCGCCGTGCCATTGACAGAGTCGACGAAGCTGTGTAACACGGCCGTGTACATCTCCCTGTTCGGCAGCTCGCCTCTGTCTTTGATCAACACCCTGCAGATGTTCATGACTTCGTCGAAGTTGCCCTTGGCGCCCTCGGCCCGCACATGTTCGTATAGGATGTAGGTCGGGAGCTGGGCGAGCGGAGGTCTATCGCGTGAAGTGTGCGAAGGGAAGGCGCGAGGCTTTTCTGCAAAAGACCGGAAGCCGTTCAGGGCAGCCCCGGGCTGCGAGAAGAAAGTGTCGTTCGCTGCCGAGGGTGCGCTGGAGCGATTGTAGGTACGCAGTTGGCGGCCGCAGTGGGCTATGGCATCTTTTCGCGATGCATTGCGCTGTAGCAGGCTAGCTCCTCCTCTTCCAGCAAACGGTGTCGTTCCAGCATTCGACGGAAACCCCGGACACAGGCATCGCCACAGGCCGTCGTTCACGAAAGGGCGGGGTGGCATTGGCGTGGGTGATGTGCACTGCCAAAGTTTCAATGCGCGCAGCGTAACATGTTGGGTCCGTGCGCGCGCGTCGGTTCGAAATGTCCACTTGCGACTTGTGCATCACCATGAGCGAAACATGGGTAAGAGCTTAGTTTGTAATTATATTCACGTATGCACTTTCCAGATGCTTTTCCTATCCCGTGCCAAGCCGCAAAAAGGGTATATGCGCCCAAATACCAACACGTCTCATGCAAAGCCCATGCCCCTTCCGTACCGTATTATATCGAAGAAGCGTCAGGCGTAGCGTTTCTTCCCATCCTAAATACCTATAATCCGTCGTAATCCGCACCAACACGTGCTCACCTCCTCACCACTTGCTCTGAAAGAAGTTCCAGTACCTGCAGCTGTCAGTCATTGTTCCTGTAGGAATAGAAGCATCACATACCTTTGGCGATATTACTTCCTGGTTTACCAAGTGCTTGCTCATGATCTTGACAACCTCCATTTGCTCCTCGTAGGTGAGTCCGGTGATGGCTGCCTCAATCACTCCACCGACTGTGGTGTGGTGCACAGCGATGAAGCTCGAGTAGTAAAAGAAGGCGATGGAGCCCATGATGAACTGGCAGTCCATGCGGTCAGTCATTCCACCGTGACCGGGGATAGAGTCGCCAAAGTCCTTGATCTTGAAGGTACGCTTCAGGCCAGAAGCGAAGAAGCCACCGAAGGGCGCGATAAGAGACGCGAAGGTTCCGAGCATGATGACGTGGAATTGCACTGGCATAATGTTGAATGTTCGCGGGATGGGGAGACCCTCGGGAAGGAAGGGAACGGTATAGTCGCGCGCGATGAAGACCGGGTTTGGCCTGCATTCGAGGCCGGACCAGATGTTTGCGCCCAGATCGTTGACAGGGCAGATGAAGTACTTGTAGTCGCCGAGGAAGTGGACAACGAGCATACCCCAGATAACAGTGAAGAACCAGGCGCCGAGGAAGCCCTCCCATGTCTTCTTGGGCGAGATCTGGATGAGGGGTGTCCGTCCAAACGTGATACCGCAGAGGTAGGCGAAGATGTCGTTGGTAATGACCATGGAGACGGGGAGAATGAACCAGATGAATCCTTCGAAGATGTTGTTGATGACAAAGTGCGCCTGTCCAACGATGAGGAAGAGGGCCATGTGCGTCCAAGCAAACTGGGTGAATTGGAACTTGTAGTGGCCCTTCTGGAGCGAGAAGACGAAGAAGACGAAGCCTGGAGAAATTAGCACAAGTACGAACCATGGGAGTTGTGGACATACCAATAATGTACAGCATGAAGGAGATGAACCGGTGGTGGGTAGCCAGGGGCAGCAGCAGACGGTCGACCATCAGGACGTGCTTGAAGTAGTATATGACACTCTCGCCGTAGAGGAAGTACATGGCGGTGCCGAGGAAGTACCAATTCAGCGACTTGGTGAAGCGCAGGCTGCGGGCCTTGCTGGGCACATTTGCGATTGCGATGACCTCCTTAAAGGATATGACCTGGACTGCCGTGACGATGATGATGATAAAGAGATGGCCAGCGCCGAGAGCCCAGAAGAAGCCGGCAATCATGACGAGGGTCCATGTTGTGCGCGTTATGAAGTTGGCCTTCTTCTTCTCGTACTCGGTCTGGGGGGGCTGTTCGGTGGCCTGGCGCTGTCAGCTGGGGAGATGTGGGCAGAGGACTGCCAACATACGGGAGGGGCCGTCTCTTCTTTGATAGTCGGACTGCCCGGGTCGCTGTACTCGGACATGCTCTGCGAGGGTCTCCGCGCCCTGCCGTTGCTGGCGCTGCGGACCTGGTGGTTGAACTTGACGTCCTTTCTCGGGCGCGCCATGGTGAAGGAGGAGAGGGCGGTTGCGCCTGGTATCCTTGGGGGTATAGGGGCAGCCGGGGCGAGGCCGGAGGGGAAGGCGCGATGGGTGAGGGCGGGGTGGGTGAAGGAGGTGGTGTTGGCGGCAGGCTCGACTGGGCCAAGTAGTGAAATTGGCGGACAAGTAACCACGGGCAGCTTGCGTCATGGCACCGCCGCTTAGCTTAGCGACCCTGCAGCCTGCATGTGAATTTCCCTAGCACCCAAACACGCCAACGCCAACACGCCAACAACGCGTCCATGCGCCCCGCATCGCGACCGCTTTGGGACATGCTCACGCGCAGACCCGCTGGCAGATGGACCGACAATGGCTGACGACGACTTCGACGACTTTTCTGACGATGACCTCGACGACCTCCCTGCCGACGCCCTGCAGCATCTCGAGGCGAGCGCCATACGCGCGACACAGCACCAGCCCGACACGGAGCCAGAGTCCGACTACGGCCCCGATGATGGCGACGAGGTAGTCAATCTGGACGATGCGCATAGTCCGCCGCCTCTATATGCGCTGGACGAGGAGGGCTACGACAGTCACATCGATGACAACATCAACGACATTATCGAACATTGCCACTACGACCAAATGGAAGTGGAGGAGCAGCCGCGCAGGTCTCAGGCTGACCCCAATGCGCTGCTCCAACGCATCAAGAAGGTGCGACACGTCCACCTCAGTCTGTAGACGCCCCGCTGATCATCGCAGTTAGAGCAAGACAAGGCGCGCGAGAAGCGAGAAGCCGAGGAGCTGAAGGGGAAGCTGCAGACCAAGGCGGGCGAGGCCGATACCCTTCGAAGGCGCTACGATGCCGAAAACCGCAAACACGAGCGTCAGCTGGCGGACCAGCAGCAGTCGCATAGCACCGAACTGGCCAAGCTGCGGGCCGAGATGGAGAAGCTGCGGCGCGAGAAGGAGTCGGTGCAGACGGACAACATGTTCAACCAGCACGAGGCGCGAGAGTCTGTCATGGCCCGACGGCCTGGCAGGACCATGCCCTCACGACCAAAGTCAGGTGCGCAGGCAATCAGCCCAGCCGGCACACCTAAGAGGGGACAGAAGACGAGAGGCCCACTGGGCGATGGTTTTGACGACGACGACGTTGTCATGGCATCGCCTTCAAAGTACCGCGAGAGGCAGAAAACGGCGACGCCAAAGCAAGCCGGCAAGAGGAAACGGCAGGCTATCGACCAGAGCCCTATACCACTGCCTGCGCTACAGCTGAGCGAACCGCGAACTCGGCCCAGAGAGACAGAGCCAGCACCAGCCGTGGGTCCTGTCATAGACGCCGCACTGCTCGAGCACTTTCGACGCGACGACCGCCGATTCACCCTCCTGCACCGCCTGCTGTCACATCCATCATCAAATGGCACCGATCGCGTCCTCGAGGCACTTACGTCGCATGCATTTCCGTCCAAGCCATCCAAGAAACTATCTTCAATAGTGTATGATGCCCTGGCGAAGATCAATACATCCGATGTGCACGAGCTAGCAGTACAGATATGTCACATCTTCCTGGACCTGTGGAAGCGGTGTCAGAGCGAGAAGTACTACGCTCCGACGTCTTTGATACTCGATGCACTGCACTTCATCCTCGCATGTGAGCCGATTGAGACCGCCGTCAAAATTACCGAGCGCGTAGTACCGCTCATAATCGCTTTTGTTGATCTTGTAGCGGACCCCATTTCGAAAGCAGCAAAGGGAGGTGAGAAGGCCGTTGCCGATCTCTACTCCCCGAAGCAGCAAGAGATTGCATCTCACATCGATGTGGAAGACTGTCTTGAGTTGCTGTACCTAATCGCGAGCAGCTGCGTGTCCTCAATAGACTCCACATCAATAGCTCGTCTATGGCAAGCGATTCCTTCCAGCTTCGCCATCATGCTCCTCGTCAAAGAGCAGCCACATGCCCAAATCACGCTCATGTTGCGCATACTTGGCACATCTGCACTATCCACCTCAATAGGACCCATAACATTCGCAGATTCCGCCCAGGATAACCAAGCAAGTAACGAAGACGCCCTGGTCCATCGTCTCACCAACCTCTTCACCGAGCTGCCGAAGCCCGTCCCAGATCCTTCGGAGTCTTCCGATGAAGCTCCAGCTATCTCCGAAGCAGATCTCTGGGACCTTCGCCTGCTCGTCATCTCGGTCCTGACGCAGTTCTCTATCCCAGAATACGGCTCTAGCCGTCTGGCCCAAAACGGCCTCTGCATTGGCCGACTGATCAAGTACCTCGATCACTGCGTGACGAGTTTGTATCGACATCCCATCGCACCAACTCAAGATCGGAAGGTTGATTCCATCAATGCGACTATGAAGCTGATTTATCACGTCGCTACGACGAATGCCGATTTCGACATCAAGAGCAAGTTGGTGAATACGCTAGGTGGTCATCATGCCTATCTCGTTGCACTGACAAGGTTAGCCTTCAGCGAGGGCTTAGTGCTAGAAGCGGGAATCGAAGATGAAGTCGTCAACATGGCGCACGACATCTTAGACGAGGGGCTGAGTATGGAAGAGGGGGATGCTTTCGGCAAGGTGTTCAGCAGTGGAAGCACTGTCTAGACATGTTCAGTGTTTTCTCAAGAAGGAGATCATCAGCGCAAGCGGCTTGGGCGATGGCTCTGATTTCAACTTGCACATTTTTCCGCAAGATGACCCCGCGTCTGAGCTCAAGGACGATACCACTTTAATTCTGCGCTCATCCACAATCATGAAGAATAAGATACGGATATCAACATCTTGTATAATCACTAGTCCGGCTCGCATTGCTATGCATTGCTATGGCTTGCGATGATATTGCATCGGACGGCGTTTATAGCATACCAATCACACACACTATACAGTCACCAACCATCCACCTCTACACCCGTCCCCCAATCCACGCCAAAACCCTCTCCAAAACCTCCTCCCCACACTCATCATTCAACAACTCATGCCTCCCCCCTCCAACCACCTCAAACACCTTCTCCCCACTCCCAGTCCCTATCCCATCCACAAACCTCTCACTCCCCCTCCACTCACAATACGCATCCTCGTCCCCATGCACCACCAACGTCGCCACTGTCCACTCTGCCATCTTCGTCCTAACACTGTCTGCAACATCCACGGCCGTCGCGGCTGTTAAGAAACATATCGGTTTCTTGGAATACAGAGGATCGGACAGGTATTTCTCGATTTCAGATTGATGGCGTGTGAGGCTGGAGATGGGTACGGAGCGGCCGGGGATGGAGACTGTGGGTAGGGTGCGTGCTAAGATCCCGATGGCTAGTCGGGCGAAGGGGGGGAAGGGGCCGGGGAAGGCGGGACTGGTTAGGATTACTCCGGCGATATCTTCATCGTTGTTCACCACACTCCCCGCCGTAATTAACCCGCCCAGTGAATGCCCAAACAACACAACCGGTCTTCCCGCTCCTTGTTCAACGGCATAACGCCGTAGTGCGATATGATCCGCTACGGCTTTTCCTACGTGGACGACGGCGCGGGGAGTACCGGGGGATGTGCCGTGGCCGTGGAGGTCGAGGGCGTAGATCGTGTAGTTGGCGGCGAGGAGGTGGGTGATTAGCGTGGAGTGGGAGGTTAGGTAGCGGAGGGAGTATTCTGCGTAGCCGTGTTGGAGGATTATTGTTGCGATGGGGGGTTGGGAGGGAGTCCAGATGTGGAAGGTTGTGCCGGAGGGGAGGGTGTGGGTTTTGTGGTTTAGATTGAGGTTGAGGTCGGGTGTTGGGGTTGTGGGTATAGGTGGTTGTGAGGACTGTTGGTGGTAGAGGGACGGGACGTTCAACATCTTGAGATCAGCGAGACTGGCGATTTCAGCACATCATACCCTTCTAGAGAAATTCCTCCTCCTGGAACATCGGTTTCGGATGATTAAGAAAGCTTAGCGTTTGTGTTGAGCAAGACACCGAGGCGAACGAGTGTAGGTGTGGTCTGTACAAGGAGTTGCCATCATCGTCCTGATCTAGAAGTCACGATCATCGTGTTACGCACGATTAATAACACAAAGAATTTTGTTCCTCTTCGAACTAGAAGGGGTGCTAAGTTGAGGTAGAGTGGTTTCTCATACCTCCTGGACTGCCTACCTCACATATGGCCCACGTGGGGTGGGGCACGATAACAGCTTTGGGCTTGGTCTGCGGGGCGCGCCTGGCACCTGCTGCATCTCTACTTCATCCCCGGATGTGCACTACACCACTGCTCAATACAATCAAGTCGTCCAAATCATATGCTCGACGACGCTACCGCGATACAAGAATGCATTTCAGTTTCGTAACTGGGCCTGTCATGCACCGCATCGCATCGCCGACAATGACAAGGCGAGTGCGGCAGGGCAAGCTGTGATAGGTGTATGCGCGACCTTCGCGCATGACTGCGCAAGACCCAATGGGCAGACTGGTATAAGAGGCTGCCTTCAGCCCTCAGCCTTTCGCACTTCTCGTTGCCTTCTCACCTCAACTCGGCATCTCCATCGTTCATGAACTACATACGAATAGACCCAAGTCGCAAACCAAAAGCTCCGTCGGCACTTTCCAGGAACAAATTACATTACAGCTTCTTTTACAGCCAGTCCTTGGTTGCAGCGCCACAATGTCGTCCGATCAGCCTCTTGCTATCGAGATGACCGATTCAGTGGACACTTCTGATTTGGTACACCCTGATGTCCAGCTTTACGTCCACAAAGCGCTGCAGACGCCTGATTCAATCCGCGTTCTGGAGCTTCTACCAGGACCATCCGGCTCAGCCTTGTCCTGTCGGATACTTGAGATAGACCGCACAAATTCCGACATCGAGTTCGAAGCGATCTCGTACGTTTGGGGCAGCCCTATTCCCGCATGCTATCTACGCGATGTAAAAAGTAACAGCATGCTGCGAGTCACTGAGAGCTTGTATCTTGCGCTGAAGGCGATGCGCTACCCCGACCGGAGCCGAATCCTCTGGGCAGATGCAGTCTGCATTAACCAGTCGGATAACGATGAGAAAAGCCACCAAGTAAAGAACATGGGCTCCATCTACGCGACGGCGAGAAGGGTCATGGTGTGGCTCGGTAACGAAAGTTTCAGCGAAGCTTTCAAAGCATTGAAAGGACTTGAACAAAAATCAGATGATGGCATGTCAACTGCCAACTTCGAGCCTACCGGCCCTGTCGACAAAGTTATGATAGCTGTCACCAGAATAGTTAGGACACCATGGTTCACTAGACTATGGACCATACAAGAGTTTGTTCTCGCTAAAGATGTGCGTTTCTGCGCTGGCAACGAGCATATCAGTGACTATGTACTGGAAAAGGCCATCCAGAATCGCTCTTCCAAAGTCGTGCGGCTGGACACTGGGACATCATTTAGGCTTAAGTTTTATAACAACTTCGCCAGGGTGGAAAGTCTCTTCAATTTTCGTGTCAAGTGGCACAGCTGTTTATACCCTGGCTCACAAGGAATATCACTACACGACTGTTGTCGATGGGTACAGCGTATCTCCCCTAAGTGTACTGATGAACGGGATCGGATATATGCTCTCCTTGGACTAGTCCAAGGACCGACTAGGATCGTTCCCAACTACAGTCTCACTGTTACAGGTGTCTTTCTGGAGTTCACCTGGTCGGAAATTACAAATGGAAATACGGACATATTACGCGACGCAGATTTCTGGGGACGACTCGACTTATATCCATCATTTCTCTATCGACCAGGTTATTGCTCGGATATACTAAGAGGTAAAACGGAAGCAAGCAGAGCGGGCATGAGTCGAGTTGCCTGTGCAGAAATAATTCGACCTGCTTCCGTCCAGATTCGAGGTGTAATCGTAGACTATATCAGCGGCTGTTGGAAGCCACAACTTATGCTATCATCGGAGAGAGAAGCTCAGATACGACATAAGACAGACACAAATCAGACTTTAGAAGCCTTTCTCCAATCCGCTGTAGTCTTATCGTCGTCCGATATAGGGCCCACATCATATCGTTTTGAGGCTAACGACTCAACCGGCGCTAAAACGACAAATCTTCTGGAGGTTTTCTGTAGCATTCAAGCCTGCGCGAGGCGAATCACAGAACAGAACCCGACGAGAAACGATCTGACACCAGAAAGAATTCAAGAGCAATTTTGGCGAATGCTTACTTTGCCCAAGAATCCCTCATCACCAGCTATGCCAAAGGACTTTCGTCATCTGCCTTCAGATTACGCTTTTCATTCTCCCTACTCCTGGATATTCACTACCGTCAAAGGATACATGGGCAGAGCACCCAAGCATACCATGGTTGACGATCTAGTGGTCATCTTTGACGGGGGTCAGGTACCATTCGTGCTAAGACAGGCGCACGATAATACTGATGTGCGTTGGAAGTTAGTCGGGGAATGTTATGTGGATGGTTGGATGGACGGCAGCTACTACGGTCATGAAGTGGTGGATGATGTCGACCAATACCTCGCGGCAGCGGACGCGGAAACCGATATGGACTTCTCGTATAGGAAGAAGACATTGCTCAGCGAGTATTTCGTACTCTGCTGAGGCCGACCAAAATTGTGACCCAAGACATAGTTCGAAATGAGATTTATCCCCATATTCAACACCACTTGGCTGTCAGTCACGAACGCATATATCGTCAAGTATGAGCAAGGTTGACAGTGATGTCGCTCTCGAAGCGAGCCAATACATTCCCTTCGCACAGCGTCTATTGCAACCTGCGTTCAATCTATCCAATCAAATACTCTATCACAATGGGACTTTTGCTTCCGCGGAACACCTTGTACGTCGGTAAGGATCACGGTCCGCGGCGAAGCCCTGCATTCCCCCACTATCCGTCCCGCGTAGCCTTTTCCTTCACCCTCACATCCCACCACCCATTGAATGTGCTCATTGAACATGCAGTGCACGGCGTCGTGCATGTGCGTGTGGCTTGATTGTTTGTCATCAAGCTTGCTTTGTATGGCCTTTACCCCACGCAGTTGCCTGGGTATAAACAAACATGCCCACCCTCACTCATTCTTTACAATTCCGACCACGATCACGTCCCCGACATCGATATCAGATGATTCCCTCCAAGGACAGGAACATAGTCGCTACCAGCTCGCCTACCGGCTCTGCGGTAGATGAGCGCTATGAAGCGTTCGATGGAGCACAAGATCGCGAGCGCTTATCGTGGAAGAAGCAGGCAGTCGTCGATCTAAAGCCGTCACTACATCGCGATACGTATGGATTCACTGCGTGGATATTATAAAAATGTACTGACAGCATACAGATACATTGGAGCTCTTCTATTCAACATCTGCGCCTTCATCTTGCCAGCTCTCTATAGCACCTTGTCGAAGCTATGGGTTGCGAACATCGACTCCTCCATGGTAGTCACAACAGACACGTACACATACATCGGGGTGGTCGCAGAAGTCTTGAACGAAGGTCTTCCGCGCGCTGCTTACCTCGTCATCGGCGACAAGTCCAGTCGTGGCTTCCGTGAGCGCTTGCAGCTCACTCACACTCTCATCCTCTTCCAATCACTCCTCGGGTTTATCATGAGCATCGGTTTTGTCGCAGGCGCCTCTACTTTCGCGCAAGGCTTTGTTCCTGTCGAGGTGAGAGATGTGAGCGTCACATACATTCGCATCTCTGCGTTCTCTGCGTTTAGTTCGGCAGTGGAGTATGCGATATCAACGTCGACCCGCGCGCTGGATAAGCCGGATGTCCCACTTATTATCAGTTCTGTCAAGTTCGCTGTCAATATCATTCTCGACTTGATCATCATCTCGAAGTTTCATGTCGGAGGCATCACACCCACAGTGAACATGCAGGCTGGTATCTCACTCGCTTGCAACCTTACTTCCGCTTTTGCAGGACTGGCGTACTTTGTATACACAACGAGTGTCAATTCCAAGTCGCCGGTCCATAGCGATATATCCCACCGCGGTACAGTCCCATCGTTACCAGCTCTTGTCACACTCGCCAGGCCAGGTGCAATCTTCTTTTTGGAATCCGCTATCCGCAACGCACTATACCTTTGGTTGGTGCACGGTATCGTCGGGCTAGGCAGCGACTACGCAACTGCTTGGGGCGTCTTCTCCACCATTCGATGGGGACTCATAATGGTACCTGTCATGGCACTCGAGTCGACCACGCTGACCTTCGTGGGGCACTCATGGGGAGCGTTGCGCGCGACCATCGTGGGTATCTCACGGGCTGCAAAGCTGCAAATTACACACCGACAATTGTGGAGCGTTGTACGCTGGGCAGTTTACTCCGTCATGGTTGTCTTGATGGTGGAGATCCCACTCTGTCTCATCATGTCCTTCGCCGGTGCTGAGCCTTTCGCACGATACCTTTCAGGCTCTGAGGAGGTCTCACGTATAGCCGCACGTATGTGGCGAACCATCGATTGGTGCTATATTATGTATGGTGTGTCGACACAATTAGCTGCGATTTTGGTATCGACACGCCCAACGTGGTATCTCTACCAGTCTCTCGCATCGAACATTCTCTACGTCTTACCATGGGCGATTGCGTGTCAAGTGGTTGACCTCAATGCTGGAGATGCTTGGACATATCACAGCTTGGTGTTTGGCGGAAGTCTGGTTTTTTCGTTCTTCACAATCATCGCAGTTGATGTAATTTGGGGGTTCAGGCTGATGAAGGGAAAGATGAATGTGAACAGGGCGTAGTTGCGGAGAGAACGCGGGAGATCGTAGTCGGATAGAAGATAGATGACAAAACACTGCGATCTTAGATATTTCCACATGCATCAATGTATCTCTCTTATCAAACTTAGAGCGCCATCAGCCTCCTCTTATATTCGTTCTCCATCAATTATTGTTCAGCCCTTCCACACTGCCGGATTTGGCTCCTTATACAGGCTCAAATCGTTCGGCGTCGGGAACCAGATACTTGGGTCATCCTCAGCGTACGCATTCGGGAACCTAACCATCGGCCCTGGACTTCCATTGCCGCCTTCCACAATCTCCACGTGCGCACAATTTACAAACCATTGACTCTGACCAAGAGTCATAGACGGCATGAAGTGCTCGATGCGCAAAAGGTATTGGCCCGAGGGCGTGGCAGCGGGAATCGTGAAGTTGATGGACAGTGTGTCCATAGTCGACCACGTCGTCTTGTCCGCCGGCCCTGCGTATGCGATCTTGAAGAAATCTCCCTTTCCGTCATATTCCATCAGACTCTTTGTTCCATCCGGCAGCTTAGAAAGAAACACCTGTCCAGGCCCTTCGTGGAAGATGTATCCTTGGACATCACCTTCGTAGTAGGGCCCAGACACCATGAGTCCAACCTCGCTTCCAGCTACGATTGTCGCTGTCTCTATAGTATCGGCGTTGTGGACAGGAAAGGAGCCGCGGCCGCATGTGACGTTTGAGTTTTCGGGCCCGTAGATGGGAAAGGTCTTGAGCCAGAGGTCATCGTAGGTACCGGCGTTGCCGGAGACGTCGCGGACGTATTGGAACTCTCGAGAGATGGTGTTGTTCACTATGAGGCGGTTGAATACATCTAAAAAGTTCATTAGCAACTAGTTCTGAGGATAAAGATGGAAGTACAAACAATGGGCGCTAGCCTGCTGCGCAAGGGCCGTTGCTAGCCATGGAAGGACGACGGACTTCATGACTGCTGCTGCTTTCCGATTAATAACTTTGCTGAAACTTAGCCATCGCAGCCTGTCTTATACGACCTCTCGCTCCGAGCCCGACCATCACCGATCCTACTTTGACGAAGGCTCTGCTGGAAGCACAGCGCTCGAGATGAGAGTCCTCATGACCATGCTAATACATGCGCAAATCCTCCTTGCTGATGGTGCAGCTGCCTGGTGCCAATGGCATCGGTTCGGTTGCTGCCGATAGTACGTAGTCCCGATGTGGTAGTTTTTAGATGAACTCCAGATTGCCGGATGGGCTATATCGACCCAAGCCCAAGCGGGGTAGGCGGCATCTTTAGAGTGCGCACATAGTGGCTATGGGTGGTACAATTCGTACTGGACATGTTTCAGTCCGGGTAACGAGGTGCAGCGTGCCGGGTAGAACTAGATCGGATGTGCTCCCCTGGGTTCAGGTGAAAGCATCGGCGGCAGCCATGCCGTTGAGCGCAAAGCTTGTTTGAACTGCGCGAAGGGTATCTTCGTAGCGATACGATGACTTGATACCATGCTTCATAAAGTTTGTCAAGGTCATGGTTAGAGGCTGTAGGCGGAAAAAGCACTCTGGAAACAACGCGTCGCGTACGCGTGACAGCAATGCACAAAGACGTGGCGCTAGATTGTAATTCGCGTCCACGGGTAGGAAATTTCGATACTGCTGAAAGAATTGGCAAGATCACGGCTGCACCAGCGCGTGTAGAGTGAACAACAACAGTCGCAACGCAAGTGCAGAGTACCTAGCGGGAGCACGCGCAGAAGCGATGACAACATCGAAATACCCCTGACTAAGCTTCGGAATGAGCCCCACAAACCATGACACGCATTCCGAAGCGGCGACAATGAACAACAAAACCCATCATATTCGCCATCACAGAAAGCATTAGCGCGCAATCTTCTACGCGTATATTCATATACACGGCGATCCAGATGTCTTACTCCAACGACAATGGCACAGCAATCCCCGCTCCTCCTGCTACCGGGTGAATTGAAGAACCAAATAATAGATTGCATCCTCACCCGGGACCCGGGCACTGCACCTCCTCCGCTACAGCATTCTCCATTATCGCTATCATTAACATGCCGTCAACTACATGAAGAATACCACACCCTCGCCTGGACCGCAACGATCTTTACTCTCCCATGGTCATCAGCAGAGGAACTCATCCGGAAAACCAGTCTACTTCCCGCAGCAATCGTGTCCAGCATCACAAAACTCCAGCTGAAGCTTCCATCCGATCTCACCTCACTCTACACCCCAGACATAAACCGCCGCCGCGTAAAACCATTCAACTTCTCCCGCGCCGGCCTCACCTCCCTAGAAGAACTCTACATCCGATACCGACCTGAGCACACAGAAAAAGGCATCGGCGGACCCGGTCGCGAACTCATCGTGCAGATCCTCTGGCGCATCATGTGGGAAAGAGATATCAAGCGACTACGTAAAATCTGCATCGTGCATGATGGGGCGCAGCCGTTCCTTTCGCTTTCTCTACTGTACAACATGCTGCAGAACTTTACGCCGCTGCAGGTGTCGAAAAGGTGGAAGGTGCGATCGGATCTTGAGCATGGAAGGCTGAGGTTTGAGGAGTGGGGTGGTGGGGAGAAGGGGAGGGGAGTGGATGTTGTGGTTGGGTTTAGCTTTTGGGAGGCGGAGGCTTATGTGGAGGTTTGTGAGATGGTTCTTGAGGTATGTTTGATTCGTCTCTTGGGCCGGAGGGGGTGCTGTCAGGAGGAGATTCGGGTTCTAGGCAATATTCAGAACCGGCAGATGCTGACTTCAGGCCAGGAGAATCATGCTCAGGTCATTCTGGCTCGGCGAGCCGAGTGTTTGTACGTCACTCCGCTGCGGGATATGAATGACGACGCTTTGAGGCGGGAGGTCGATAATCTCAACACCTTGTTTCCTGTGTTAGGAGACGAGGAACATGCTCTTCAACCACACGTGGAGCGTATACGTGCCGCGTGTGCGGTAAGTAACCGAGGATGAGAAGAGACGACGCAAAGCTATTTTGACTCGCACGCGAAGGCCGTCGTGGCTAACGGCTATACTGATTGGGGATATGATGTTCACCGAAGACGTCCCAGTCACCTGACTACGTTCCCGTAGCTCGATCAGAAGGAGCACTACTCAGCCATCTTCCGACGAGGAAGGCTTTACGCGCACGCCGACGGCTGGGTTGAACAATAGGGACCGCCATGCATTGCCGGTTGCACCCAGACCCTCACACACCTTTCTTCGTTCCGAGATCGGCTGGCACATCCACGCGTCGCTTTCAGGCCATGGCGGAATTCGGTCTCGCCACCACTTCCAGAGCCGGGTGGTGATAACAACGTGGTATCTTAACCGTCCCTCAGAACCTCCTCGACCGGCTGAATACCGTATTCGCTTTTCGAAGCGAAGGAGTGTGGAGTAGGTCCCAGAACCAAGCCCACGGCGTCAGCATGGCAGGCGGGATACGCGTCCATGGTGGACCGGGTGGCATCCTTTCACACCAACGTCGCTTTTCAATAGTGGAAGTATGCCGGTCACCTTGTTCGAGCTAGTGCTGAGAGGAAAGACTGTGCTTGGGGAGCGCTTGCGGCGGGAAGGAAGGGTCGGGACGACACGGGAAGGATTGAGATCTTCAAGACGGGTTGGTGTTGAGAAGACAAGTGGCACCTTGCGATGTGTGTCCTAGCGGGGAAAGACGGCCGGGAGGGAGCCGACCAACCTTCGTCTGCGATCCATCCTCACTACTCGGGTGAAGCTTTACCCTTGCCATGTTCGCAGAAGGAGTCTTTGGTAAGGTCAGCCTTACCGGTCAACGCGGTCATGTCATCCAGGCCCTTGTTTTGCCGCTGGAAGTTATCGATATCCGCCATCAGAGCATCCTTCACGGGTCACTCGATCGAAGAGTAAATTTCGCGTGCCATTTGATAGGCTCGGTACCTTTCCTATTATCGTGGCTCGATCACGATGAAGCACGAGGCGTGCACGGGAAGAGCATCCACACTGTCCAGTCTGGATACTCGTTTCCGTATTCCATGGTTCGGCCCGATTGCGCTTGGGGATAGACTGAACTCTTACCAGACTCATGTCTCACATGATACACCCACCCTCATCATACTCGCTGCAAGTGGGGTCCGTTCCATGGCGGTGGATTCTCGGCCTGGGCATATCATCCTAGTCTCCCATGTGGCTGGTTCACTGGCTCTGGATGGATGGATGCGAGGCTCTATTGGCTGACGAAATGGTGGAGACGATAACTTGGCTTTCGATAGAGTGACACGCTGAAAGCTGATATGGACAAAGAATGGCCATGCACTTCGACTGGAGGTTTCCCAGCTGCGAGCTCAGTGTCCGTGTCGTAACCGAGAAGGCCTGCGAGACTAGGCAACGGCAGGAGTGCATTTGGGTATAGCATCAGCCAATAAAATAGACAAACAAGCATCGGAACAGTAAGAAACTGTAGACATTGTCGGGATAATCATGACCGGGGAAGCACGCCACAGGACGGATGTAGGTGGTGTTGGTCATCCGAGACCTGTAAATCGATAAAAAGCAAGGATGTTCCGCGTGTAATCTAACCTTCATGCGCTCCGGTAGTGCTTGCGCCGTAGATTCTGCGGTACATGGTCATCGGAGGAACGGGTGTGTGTCCCGGAAGGCCTCGAATACGACCAACCACTACCGGGCTGGTGGTTGCAGAACCCAGTACTCCGGTAGCATATGCTATACGCCAGGTTTTGGATCAGGAAGACACCATGGGAAACCTGTGTCCCATTTTGCCAAGCCTTCGAGTGATCATCGTTCCTGCATTCAGGCAACACGCCTGATCCCACACGATGATGACACGAACGATGAAGGATCACGGTACCTACGATTGGACTTGACGCTATCGATAAGCAGCAAGCTACCAGGTGGGCGCGGCGCCTTTTTCTTGAATCATTCAAGAGGCTGACTGTAGGTCAATCTGGTGGTGTGGGACTCGTAGAATTGACGTTCGAAGGAGACGTAGATGCGATGCCGCAGGCCGCTACATTCGC